AGCCCCACCCGAACTCCCGACCTCCCCCAGCTCCCTGTCTCTTGACTGCCCCCTCCAGAACCTCCCTGCCCCTTCTCCGACCCCCTGGCCCCCTTACCCTGCTCAGACCAGCGTGCCGGGGAGGAGGAGCAGGGGGAGGAGCTCCAGACTGCCGGTGCGAACGGCCGGCTGGTGATCTGCGAATGCGGGGAGGGAGGGAGGGAGGGAGTGATCTCTGCTGCAGGGGAGAGGAGGGGGAAGTGGAGGAGGGGCTCTCTCCGGCTGTCGGAGCCCCATGTAAATGGCACCATCCGGCCGGCTGCCCTGTCAGCCGCACGCGCTCTGCATCAGGGGGGGGGGGAGATCCAGACATTTACAAATTCCCCCCGGACGCTATTTTTAACTCTAAAAGCCGGACATGTCCGGGGGAATCTGGACGAATGGTAACCCTAACCTATGGGGGTGGACAAAGGAGCACTACAGGGGGGCCGGGTGGCTCAGGGGGCAGTTCAACTGCCCAGGTGCCCCATTCACCGGGGAAACTGAGGCTCAGCCCCCAGGGCAGCAGAATGCAGCCTCCCCTGAGGGGTCCAGCCCCAGGGAGGCCCCAGAGCCGCGGTGCCTGGGAGACGGCCAGAGGGGGGCTGGACCAGACCTGCCGGATGGGGGGCGTTGGGGGCTCTGCTCCCAGGGCAGCACCTGCTGCTGGTTTCCCGTCCGAGCTACCTGAGTGACTCTCCCCTTCCCCCAGCAGCAGCCCCCTCGGGGCGCCCAGATTTCACCCGCACCAACATCACCCGCCTGGCGCTGAGCGCTGTGATCCTGCTCGTCGTGGGGCTGATCTTGGCTGAGGCCTATTACAGCCGCCCGAGGGGAGCACCTAGGTGAGATGACCCCCCCTTCTGTGCCCCTTGCTCCCCCCAGGGCCTGGGTGCAGGGCGACACGGGCCCCTCTAACCTGCTGTCTCTCTGCACCCCCAGGAACCTGGATCTGGCCGTATGGAGGAGAGCCGCTTCCCCGTGGGGGACTGAGACGTCAGCACAAATCTCCTGCCCCCAAACGCCCGTGCCTCAGAGAATCCCGCCCCCAGACTGCTCCCGACCCAACTGCTGCACCCCAAGATTGAAATCCGGACTTCTGGCCCCACGGTCTCCAGTCACTGTGGCACCAGCTAGACGAGCGGCCCCAGCGCTGGGCGCGTCGGGCTCCCCACGGAGCAGCCCCTGGTGAGTGTCGGGGTCCCATTCGCTGCCCCAGCCGGTCCGGTCTTTGCCTGGGGCTGTCAGTGGGGAGCGGGGAGGCTGCGTCTGACCCTGGGGCTGGAATAATGACACTTAGTGCCCCCCAGGTGTCTGTCCCCCTCCTCTCTCTGCAGCAGGTCCCCCAGACCCTTTTCTCTCCCCGCTTTCTCCCTTGGCCTCCCCTCACCCTGTATTTCTATTGTACAAACCCCCAGAGCTTCTTGCTCCCCTGCCCCCAAATCTCCCCACCCCAGGGGACGGCTCTGACAACGGAGCCTCCAAATGTCCCCTTGTGGTGGGTTCAGCTGACGAAGGTGAGTGAGAAGTTCAGGCAGCGTCACGAGAACCTGGACGAATGAACGTTGGGGGGGAAGTTGGCGAGACAGAAAGACGGGATTAGTCCAACCCGACCGGCCGCCGGACAGAACCCACGGGCCGGGCTGGGGCCCACCTGGGACACGGGAGAAGTGGGGGAGCAGAAATCCGTGACCCACAATTGGGGTGTTGGAAACGAGACCTCATTGGTGGATAAATCCTGTCAGGGAGGGGCTGTGCCACCCACCACCACTTTTAGGGGCGCTCCGCTGGCTCCTCTACCCCCCCCCAAGACAGTCGCTAGCGTCTCTGGGGCCAGCGGGGAGACGCCCAAACCCAGGGGATTTTCCGGCTAGAGACTCGCTCCAGCGAATGGGGCCGGGGCTGGAACAAACCCCTCGTTTCACACGGCGCCTGCCACGGCTCCCCTGGTTCCTGCCCTGCTGTGTCTGTAACAGCCGGTCCCAGGGGTCAATGGGGGGTTTGCCGTGGGGCTGAGCAGGCTGCAGGCTCTGGACCCCACCCCCAGCTCCTGTTTAACCCTGTTCAGTGTGGGGCAGGGGCTGGGGCATGTTCGCACCTCCGGCCCTTTACCGCATCTCCATGAACACAACAGGGCGCAGAGTGATTTAACTGCCAGCACTTCTGGGCCCCCCCATGGTGGGTGTGTTGGGGCAGCCGGCTGGAGGGAGCCGGGGTTTGAGGAAAGTAGGTTGGGGGTGTCGGGAGGGGGGATAGGCGTTTGAGGGCAGACAGGTTCCCCCCAGGTCAGAATCGGGGGGCAGGATTGTTGGGGGGTATCAGAGGGGGGAGCCAGCACTCCCGAGTGCCCCCTGGGCTGCCACTTCTACCCCCAGCAGCCTCCCCGCTCACTGCCCCCCTCACCCCTCCCCTCAGCTCCAGCCCCCTCCGCCCCAGGGTCGCCCATTTTATTTTCTGTCTCTGAGTCCTCAGTCTCCCCTCCACAGCTCCCCTGCCCCACATTCCCT